CAACGACTACGACTACTACTACTACTACTACGACTACTACCACCACCACCATTACTTTTCCTAAGATGCCTTAGAGTCCTACTGCTATTGCTTTTGGTCCTACTTTTTTATTCTGTTGAGCACTTCCGCCGGCGTATATGTGAACGATCCAGGTACGAGTTGCTTCTCCCTGTTACTTCCTGACCTGGCATACCTTGAGTGCCCAAGCATACAACTACCTCTTGAGCTCCCCAGTGATGCCAGTATCCAGGAACCACTGCACCGTACTGGCAGAAGGGGCGGTGCAGCAAGGGGAAATGCCCATCAAAAAAATGTCATCATGTTAATTACAGCATAGAAAATGGAAAGAATGAGTACAAACAGTAGCGCATTCCGAGAGTTTCTCCATCCACCCCTAAGTCCTCACTTCCCTTTCAACTCAAAATCCAACGCTCTCACTGGATAGACCAGCCCTGGCACAGAGGAGGGATGCACCGGCAGAGGTGCCGCCCACAGCGCCCCCTCGCTGCAGCAGTCGCTGAAGGGCTCGCTCTAGACCTCAGAATTTTTGGTTCAGGGAGGTCAGAGTGTAGTAGTTTCCACTTTTTTCCATTATCCCTACATAAACTTATCATTATTACTATTCCTGTTGCTATTAGGGTTTGGGATTAGGTGTTAACGCGGTTCTCAAACAACAGTGCCCGCCTGTCCCGCAGAAGGCGCCTCGAAGTCGCGCCTGGTCTCCGCCTCTCAGGGCTGTCTTGCTACACGTTGCTCGCGGTTCAAGGCTCTAAGGTGGGGTGAGCATGTTGAAATACCCTTTGTGTTGGACACGCTTCGGTACCGAAGGGTGATCACATAGCGATGATGATGGCTTCCTGCAATTATGCTGAATGCAATGTATGAAGCCACTTGATACACCACACGACAGCGCGGTGAGTAGCACTCGCACACTGACACTGACGGTACAAAAGACCAACGGACAAAATGAACCGCAGCAAGTGTAGATGCGTGTCCCGATCGGAAGCTTCTAACCAAAGTGCATCTGCCTGTCAGCCAAACGCATTGCGCAGCGTCGATCAGGTCGCACAGGATCGTTGCATCCTCAAGCAACTCTGGAGGCATGTCTCAGGGCACAAGACTCGTGTATGAAGCCTTGCACGTACAAGTACATACTTAAAAATGGTCTGCACCATGCGTGAAGCAAAGGTCACGACACCAACGTGACATGAAATTCGCCATACTTGCAGCAGCACACGCACTTCCCAAATGTAAGGCCAAACGCATTGCCCAAACGGGGGGATGTTCACACATCTCCCACAAAATGACCCCGGCTTTTGACAGATCGTTGATCCTCTGCTTTTTGCCCCTGACTGCCGCAGCCTAGAGACGGCTTCAGCGCGGGTTCGGGGGGCTACTTCCGCGACACTTCCCAACCTTGGCAACAAGGATTGGAGAAGCCTCCGAAAATCAGGAACGCAAATTCTAGGATGAAGAGTTTGGGTTTTCCGGGTGTGGGAAGTAAAGAATGGGATGCTTCGTGATGAGGTTGGGTTCGAGGTTCAGGCATGTCTCGCTGCCCCAGGATGTTGAGCTTTGGTGATGCTCTGCGGCATCATGCTTCTTGAACGATTTAGGGGTTGGCTTAGCGAATGAGGAAAGCATGCAAACATGGGTTCCTTGTGATGTTGCAGTGGCAATCCTGCTGCTGCTTCATCCAACATCGCAGCTTCAGCGAAGCTCTGAGAAGGCAAGCTGGCTCAAGCACTGCGCTACCCAGTCATTTGAAACCAGCGGCTCGTGCCAAAACGAGTCTGGGCGCATTCCACAACCTCGATGAGATCATCGTTGCTGCAGGCAAACGCTGTCCGCATGCATTGTTGTTTTACGGAGCTAATCCTGTGCTGCCCCAGCGCTGCTGATGAGGACGATATTCACACGCCCGAAGTAGAATGGGAGTGCTGCACGTCCAGCTTCGACAAAAGCCTTCCGGAAATGTACCTGACCAAGTGTCAACACGAAGAGGTGGCGACCCAGAGGGATCCGTGTATGCTGGCAAGTCACAAATCGATCATCCTCCAGGCAAAGCCCCCTGCCACCGCCGAAGAGGTGGATGCTGCCGCGCAGGCTTTGGACAGGTGCCTGGGCTTCCCAACGGTCCATCCTTAGCAGGGCAATCTTGAGAGGCCTAGTAACTTGTACTGCAAAGTCAGGTATGGCAGACATATTGTTGCAACCGAAAATCAATTTGATGGGCCTGGGCCCCTGCGCTGGAGTAGAGGTACGCGATGGGCATGTGTCAGCTGAGTCGATGAGCTGCAGGTTTGGAATCATGGCAGATTCCTGGTCATCTCCGGGATTCTCCTACTGCTTCTAGATCTCCGAACTCTTAGCACAATAGTGACACATATCCATGTCGAATGCACCCAAAGCATAAGCCGCATTCGATGAGACTATGACCAAGAAAACCATTGTTTGCTGCGCTTCCTATTATGTAAGCATTATCATTTTCACTATCATTGCTATCCTGCTTCTCTTGCACATGAGGGCATGAGGTCATCAACTACTCAAGCAAGCATGACCACATTCACCAACATCCCTTGGCCACTCCCTGCGAGCCGAGGCAGCTGCAGAGAAGATCCCTGGATATACCCGGTGATGAAGGCACTTGCAGCAGGCCAGAAACGAGTGGCTCCATGAAGCCACCGGCATTGAGGCGCGGTCAATGGAATTCAGCGGAAAGTCAAAGTTTATGACGTGCCTTGGTGGCTGAAGTGTGGACAGAGGGTCCTCGAACTTTCGGGGGGTTCTGTCACTGCTGTGTCAATCTGAATGGAAGGAAGCAGGGAAAAAACAGGGCCTTTGCCCTTGCCAAGTGAAGGAATAGCAGAAAACATGTATGCCCATGGCAGCACGAAACTGCGCATGATAGCAGCCCATCAGACTGGGACAACGCTCTGGGTTGTAGCCCTGATCAACACAAGCACCTGAGTTGTTGTTCAAATGAAAGGCAATGCTCCCATACTCTGGTACTGTTGGCAAATGACACATGATAGGGACCTGTAGTTTTGCCAATGAATCAGTGGGGAATCAAGCAAAAAATGAAAGGAAAATCAAAAGGAAACTAAGTTTATTTTAGGGATCTATGGAGTTTCTCAAAGGACCCTGTAAAATCAGGGGCTTGGGCTTTAGGGGTTGTAGTCCCAGAATGATACAAGTACAAAGATTAAAGTTGTAGGGGCCCAAATGTTTGCCAACATTTGTGTGATAATGGGTGTGGGTTTCAGGGTCTAGGGCCTGGGTTATCCCGAATTCCTAAGCCCAGAAACATCGGAGCCTCACTTTACCGTACAGTTTGTTTACTATGCACCTCATGGTGAGTTAGTTGAGTGGAGAATCAATGTGGACTCAAAAAGAAATCAAATTGGAACTGGGCTTGTGTAAAGGGGTTCAAAGATAATGTCATGTAATGGTAATCTAATGAAACTTCCTTAGTTAAGAGCCGTTGAGACAGTGAGAGCTCCGGGGGCGCTACTCGCAGTTTGGCAGGTCAAGACCTCTCTGCGCCAAGTCGGTGGAGACCACCACATGGTACTCTCCGTCAACAAACCTGGCTGCAAACTTCCTACATGACTGTATGAGCAAAGTGTGAGCCGGTGTGGATAGATTGGGTTTATATTGGGGGTATACAGGGATAATTGAAAAGAAAATGGAAACTACTATATTAGATTGAGTATATATACATGTCCAATTGCCTGCAGAAGGTATTCATTCGGGATTGGATTATCTGTTCAGGCCATTGCAAGCAAACCCTCGTCGGAGGCCACTGAATGTGGCCTAGCAGCATTCTCAATGATGTTACTTTGAATCTTTTTTGATGGTAGCCTTCTGGATTTAACGCTTCAGCAGAAAGAAGCACCTTAACGGAAACTCCAAATGCCACAAGTACAAGCCAAAAAACTCACTAGATGATTCGAGGATCTAGGTCGGGTTGCTCTACCAAGGCATGCAGCACACATGCAAGGACGAAAAAGATGTGGAGAAATCTGACATGTGTTCCATACAATGGCTTGGCTGATTGGGTCTTCCTTAGGGCTCAGAAACCAAAAAGACTTTGCATACAATTAAGTAAGGCATACCTTCTCAAGGCCTGTGCGTCTTGAGAAGAAGACAACGTAACATCAGCACAGGAAGGGATACACGGACGGAGCGTTGCTTCATCAACCTTTCCACTCAAAACTGCTTCTTGAAGTCCCTCCGAGATCACCAGTATCTTATCAGGCGACTTATCAGGGTTGTTGCTCCCATGCCTGGGGTATTGTAGGACTCCTGAATGCAAGCCCAAACCCTTGACCAAAAATGGGGTTGAATGTTCGCGTATGGTCCCCAAATTGAAGCCCAAAACCTTTACACACAGCAATACTAATGTTTAAGGAACCCAGTACACACTCACCCACAGCATCCCAAATGAGCACGGCACTTCCTCAGGACCTCCTTGCGCTCAGCCTGAAGGACAGTTTGGAGCCAAACCGCAAGAATCAGGTGTCCCTTAAGTAGAATATGGGATATATGGTAATCTTTCTATGATATTGGCCAATTCCATAGTTCATCTACTTAAGGGGAACTATAATCTAGCATGAAGCGTCCGGAGCCTTAGTAATTTGAAGCTAGACAGACTTCTTCCTTCCATTTAGTTGCGACTAAAAAGCCGGATCTACGAAAACTCCCGATAGCCCAGCATGATGACCTTGTCTGCCACTGCCAGTAGAGCCCTCTTGATATTGGTGAAGCAGGTGGTCTGCGGGGTATTCCACAAATAGAGCTTAACACCTTAGAAAGAAAATCTCGCATGAAGCAAGGCGATTCCTCTCACAAAGCTACCGACCAAAAGCCCTCCTACGCAAGCAAAACGCGTCAAAAGGACAGGCGTGCGCCAACGGCCCTGCATCTCTAGACCCACCACATAGCGAAGAATGCAGCGCAGCATACTTGATTCGGCAGTATCTCCATAAGCCCAAGAAGGAGCTGCCATGCAGTCTCTACAGTGGAGGAACACATGAAAAAACTGCTGCCAAGAAGCTGTCTGCATTTCTTTGTGGAGAATGCCGATTTTCCTCGGCCCAAAACAGCCCAAATGCTGCTGATTACCCCTATAAGCTCCTACATGAGCCTAGCTTCCATTTCAGTTTCTGTCTTCGTTTCCAGGTGATTCTCTATTATACAGCAGGATCACTCCAGGCTCTCAGGCTCTTGTACATGGCTGTACTTCTCCTTCAGCTGGAAGCCCACTGACCTCGTTCAGGGAAGCTTACAATCGTCATCTGTAATAGGAGTGCCTAGCATTCTGACGACTACCACTCCTATTAATGTTACATATGGATCATTGCTTTGAAACCAGAATGACAACAGTGGACTGGAGTGCCGCAGAAAGGTTCCTGGGCTGTGGCTTGCAAGAGGAGAGGGTGTTGCAGAAGACCAGGGTCTGTCTGGGCGTCAGTCCACGGCCTCAGCAAAGGCATAGGGCTTAGGTGATTAGGTCTGAAGCTTCAAGCTTGGGGAACATGGTTTAGAGTGCGGGGTTTAGGTTCAATCGCAGGATTGATCTGCAGGCCCCGGCGAAGGCTTTCTTCACCGAGATCGCGCTGAACCAACTGCACCCTCAGCACCAGCAGGCTATCATCCGCTGGGCTCCTCCCCTACGTATATCTTGGCGTGACAGCAATGAAGTTCAGTTTTCCTAGGACCGCCGAATGGAAGCCCGAATGCCCGTTTCTTGGGGGCTTTGGCTTCACCTGGATGGCTTGGACTCGGAGAAGGGGAACTTGACAGCAGAACAAAGCTGAGCTCCCATCAGCATCCTCACTTTGCAGCGGCCCTTGGTCAAGACCATGGTGTGAGAGCAGTTGGCCTCGCAATGTGTAGGCTGCCAAAAAATTACCACTCAGAGGAGCTGATGAAAAGGCCCACTATCAAGCAAGATTCCAAGCATGGTCAATGGCTCAGCAGGGAATAAGGGAATCTATTACACAGGGATATAAGGCTTATGTCGGGATTCTATTCCCATGTGTTATATCCCTAAACCCTATATTCCTAAACCCAAACCCCCCTCAACCCTAAACAGCTAAACCCTAAACCCCTAAACCCCCAAACCCCTAAACCCAAAACCCTAAACCCTAAACCCCTAAGCCCAAAACCCTAAACCCCTCAATTCCCCAAGCAATGAGTCCATTCGGCCTGCGGCCTGTGGAGTGAGTTGGACTCAAGTATTCTCAGCGTCCTGCACTGCAGTGAGTAACATAGGGTTTAGGGGTTTAGGGTTTAGGGTTAGGGGTTTAGGGGTTTAGGGGTTTAGGGTCAGCGTCCTGCACTGCAGTGAGTAACGCCCGCTCCAAAGGGATTTTTACATTGGGCAATATTTGATTATTTTGGAGGGTCCAAAATAAAAATGATAGTACCAATAATAACAGCAAGGATACTACTGGGGGCCCAGAATTATTTTTGTTCTTATTATTGTTGGTATTATTTCTGTGATTATTATCTTGTTAGTATTATTGTAATTATTACTACCATTATCATTCAGCGCCATGGCCTGAACCGTCGGTCTTCCTGAAAAATTCTCCACCTGAGAACACCAGCTGCTACGCGCTGAGGTCGGCTACCCAAGGTGACAAAGTTAGATTTGCTCTGGAAACCGAGTAGAGGCTATAATGTTACTATCTTATTCGTATACCGTAATGTTACCATGTTACTATAATGTTACTCTAATACTGCTAGAACTGATATTACTAAAATTCATTACTATACGATAACTACCATCATTACTATCGTTACTACTCAGTAAAAAATTGTTCTGGGGCCCCCACAAAGGTTTCGTGATGCTGGCCTTGATTCTGACACTGCAGTCGGTTGGAAAAAAAGCAAGTACGCACAGAACCAACGCCAAACAAGCTCACACAAGACTTTTTATGGCTGATGGTTGGCAGAACTGGCTGTTGGCAGAACGCGGAAAAGCTGATTTTGAATTGGGTTTGCGCCTCTTAAGGCACCTAAGCACACAAACTACTTTTAAAAATAGTTAGGAAGCCGGTGGCTGCTGGTACTCGCTGATGCCTTCCAAATCTGGAGAGAGCCTGCATCTCGAGCTGTCCTCCGTGAAGCCAGTGGCACGCAGCCAGAGCAGGCTAGCTGATGGTCTGGCTTTATCCATGGGAAGGAACTGTGCTGTCTTGGCGACTGCCAACTTGCGCGGATCATCCAACATCCGCAGTCGAAGTGCTGGGAGGCTCTTGGGCTCGCATCGTCCCTTCCGCACGTAGCGGGTGGCCCTGGATCGGACCGTTTCCCAGTCAACGGGAAGCACCAACTTACGCAAAGAAGGCATCGCTGCAGAAAAGTCAGAAGCTATACGGTCCTCCTCTTGCTGTGCTGGCTCTGTTGGCCCTGACTCTGCTGAAGGCTTCTGTGCATATTTGAGATGCACCTGCACCACATCACAGTGTGGCGTAGAGGTATCAAGGAGAAGCGTCATTTCCTTGAGAGCTGGGTTGGCCGAGAAAGCACAGCTACCATAGCTACCAGCAGACCAAGCAGAGCCAGAGCCGGCAGAACTCTCTGAGAAGCGCGATGCACATGCAGGTTTGTTGGATGGGCCAGCGTCATCAGCAAGCCTCTCCATCAAAGCTACCATGTCTGGGGCCTCCGTGGCTTCTGGAACTGGTTTGACCTCTGCGTCCTCTCGGAAGGCAATCAGGTGGTGCATCTCACCAAAGGCGTCTGCCAGCGGAACGTGGAAGATGTCCACGGCCACCCGCGTATTGCAAGACCCACGCAGAGACGTCCGCAAGCAGGAAGCCGCAGCCGATGAAGCCGTGGATTCTCCCGTTGATTCTCTGGATTTCTTTAAGAAAGAGGCGAACTCCTCCCTGTCCTCCTCAAGGATCATGTCCCAGAAGCTCCGGCCCTGCAGGCTCGTGCCTGTCATCAGCAAGTGCTCGAGGCACCTGCCATCCCCACAGACATGAAGCTGACTGTCAAGCAGCACATCACCATCACAGATTCCGCGGAGCACTCGGCGGAAGCCCTGCACCATCGACCCAGCATCCGCCGATGCTAGAGATGCCCGGAGTTGGGCACGTACGCCCAGCTCCAACGACAATGCTAATACAGCAGTGATGACAAGTACAAGGACTTGCGCAAGCACGAAGGAAGTCGGGTCCGCCGATTGGTAGGTCCAGCATTCCGCCAAGGATACAAGAGCTTGCATCGGCACGATCAGGGCTGTGTCCAAAACCACCACTGAAGCCAGGAATCGACAACTGATCTTGAATGCCTGTGTCGCCACGGGGTCTGTTGCACCTGGGCCCGCACCGGCCAAGACGAATATGATAAATGTCGACGAAGCCACACTGTGCAGTATTCGGAGGTTGGTAAGTGTTAGTTCAATCTTCCGCCTGGCGACCAGCAGGCTTAGCGTGTAAGGACATACCGCAGCTGCCAATCGCATTGCTTGAGCTGTCTCGAGACTCACGATAAACTCGTAAAGTAGCCACAGCAAGGTCATGAACATACCATGTACTGTGCACTCCATGGAAAGTCGGGTAAATTTCTGTCGGAGTTGCAGAAATGCATCATCTACTCGTGCTTCCTCCACCTGGCTGCCCTGGTTGTCTTGCTTCGCTGTCTCAGCGGACAAACGCTTAGACAGGAGAATCTTCTCCTTCATGGACGCGAGGCTACTACCGCATGCATGGAGGTGGCAAGCCAGCAGCGCCACGCCGCCCACCACCACCTTTGCGGGATCTAGGCCTTCCATGCTCTGCCAAAGAGATTTGACAACCCTTCTCTTGGGCCTTGTGACGTCGGAGGCACAACTGCAGAGGTACTGAAAAAAGAGCTCAAAGGAACACAGACTTTAAGCCAAGGCGCTGTGATCAACGAGTAGCGCATCTGGCGCTTGTGCCTGCCAACTCTCTGTAAGATGCCTGCCCCCTTACTGGGACAAGCATGCATAAAGGAGGTGTCCTGGAATCCTCGTCCACCAAGTCCAAGATTTTGTACAAGTCGTCAAACCCCTGAGTAAGAAGAAAATCTGCCTGCCAAGGCACCGCAAACGAGCTGCTGAAAGGGCTTCCACTATGAAGAACAGCTCACCGTGCTTGCTCAAACAGCACGATGAAACTGAATGCTAAATCACTGTACTGTAGGTCTCTTGGCCTCATCAATCGCGATGTAAGCCACCTCCTCTAGCCTGATGTCCTTGGAGTTGTAGAATTTCAGGAGCCTGGCTCAAGGAACGGATCCAGGCTACACGGTCATGTAAACCTCGTTACAGCAAAGATCCATTGGGTTTCGGTGCAAAGCAGCTGCATTTTCTGTGTTGAAGCTTCGAGGCATCTGCGAGTACTTCCTGCCTTTGCTCTCACTTCCAAGAGATTCTAGAGTGAAACGTGACCAAAGTCCTAACTAAGCTAAACCATGTCGAAGACCATTCGCCGTGCACCGTCTGCAATTGCCAGGGCCTCTGCAAGCAGAATGCCACACCATGTCAGGGTTCGGTCCCCTACAGCTAATGGGATCCTTCAGTCATGCATTTCACAAACAAGGTCAACCCTGGCACCCAAAAGCTTTCCGCAAGAGTCTGCAAGAGCATCGTGTGAGTGTTGTGGCTTCACAATGCTTAGCAAGATCTCAGGCCTTTAGCCTAGGCTCGCCTCATGCCAACGACCCCTGTCAGTCCTCACCAACACCCTCCTGCCATCCGAGGAGGCATCACACTCCAAACTGCACCACACTGCACCCACCTGACGGACCACCCGGTGGGAAACCTGAAGGAGAACTTAACCTCGAGGGCTGTTGGAAAACCACGCAAGTAATATCTCGATACCAAAGACATTAGCACAAGGCAGCATTTCAGCCGCCCATTCTTTCAGACCCCCAAGCCCTGAATTCCGCAGCCTCCACTGCTGGCTCCAACTCACTGGACTTGGCACGGTCCACAACGAGGACTGTCGAGCGCCATCTGACAATTCAGCTTGAAACGGCTATGTCCCAAGCCAGGTCACCCTTCTGCACCCCAATAGATAAAGAGCCTCATCATAAGGACTCGGCTCCAAAATCGGAGAGTGCACAAAGTCAAGGCAGGATGATTCGATTTCAAAGTTCAGTCCCGCCTCTCACCCGGCCCAGCTGCCTGACCGATTCCAGCTCCATGCAGCCAAGTCAAAGTCAGATAGCAGATCATCCATCATTCTGTTTAGGAGACATGAAGATCCTCAGACAGATCATCTTTACTACGTCTCGGGAAATTGCAAGGATCCATCGCAAACTTGATCTCAGTCCTTGTTGGGACTTACACTTTCATCCAAAAAAAGCTACAACTGCGATAACAACCCAATTTCCACACAGTTAGACCGGAGAGTTGTCACCCCTTGCCTACATCTATGCAAGCTCCATGATAACAAGTTTACAAACACAAGTCATGGTGGACGACGCTGAAAGACATAAGGAAGCGGAATCTTGGACTCCGAAGGCAGAGAACATTGTGCCAAAGAACAGCCGTTCGCCCAGCAGGAAATAGATCCTGTAACACAAGGGAATTTGAGCAACATACAACAACATGGATACGGAGGATCCCGGAAAGAAGTAGGGACAAAAAAAGGTTTGCAGGGATCCCCGCAAGGTTGTAAAAGAAATTCCGCTGAAAGTTGCTGGCCTGGCTGAAGTCCAGCATTGCCTGGCTGAGGGCGAACGCCTCTGCAGCATAGGCACGGCAATCATCCGATGATTTCATAAGTGAGGCATCCCAAAAGCATCACAGACAGCACTCATATGGTGGTAATCAAAGTAACAGAAATAGCAGGAGTAATAGTATTAGTGATGGTACTAGTACATGAAGGAGTTGACTGTTTTTCAAGACTTAGCTCTCTGCCCCCGCCTCGCCATCATTGCACAACAGCCAGGCGACACGCGAGCACCCGCCCGTGTCCTACACACATGGGGGTTCCCAAAATTAGGGGTACCTTTTTGGGGTCTCTATAATGAGGATTAGAATATTTTGGGGTGTAAATTAAAGGCCCCCTATTTGAGGAAACTACCACACGGGACTGCTACCCGTTGTTGCACTAATGTTGGGAATGCTGTTGCTCAGATCCTGTGCTGCTACCCAGGGGGCGAAGACGCCCGCCATGAATCGTTCGTGCTCACGGCCTAGGTCGCTTTTCCACATCACGCATTCCTTTCTTGAGTTCTTACTTGGTCCACCTGGTTGACCTCCCTGTCCTCTCGTCTCTAAAAGCTTGTAGACCTTAGGGCTTGACACAAATCAGCTTGAAGCAGCCGCCAGTCGACTCCAGCTCCTGGCGCTTGGTCTCATCGGTCCCAGCGTGGACATAACGCGAAATGTTCCGTGTTGCCTGAAGGGACGGTTGCCTTCGCAGTAGCCTCGCCGCCCTGTGCAAGCCAGCGAACCAGCTCTGCAGCCACGCATCAGCAGTTTTGGAGCCCTTTGGCGTTCACCGGCCTCAGCGCCAGGTGGCGCCCACGACAGCACCTGAGCAATCAATGCTAACATGCAGCCGCCGTGCTCATCTAGGATACTGCGAGGATCTGTGAGGTTCCCGTCTTGCAACTGCAAATCCAGCCTCTGGACAGAGCAGCGCAGATGAGAGTCTTGTTGGACTCTGCCTTTGCAGGTTGCTTCTGGCTGAAACATGAAAGGAAGAGAGGCCATGCTGCTGGGTAAGGTGGTGCCAAGTGGACGGACTTAGCATGCAGGGCTCCAATTGCCCGGACGCGATGCCGTGGAAACTTCAGATTTGCACACACACCAGCTTGATGAACAGCTGACACAACCAGTGTTCAATGTAATGGGGCACATGACCAAGTAGAAGTATGACTGACGGCAACAGCAGGTCTGCTTGCAGAGAGGACCATGAAAACAGCGACCGTCCCCCTTTCGCTTTACAAATCCTGCTACAATCTCTTGACAAGTGTTCCTAGCGGTGATTGTTGCATGTGGCTTGCTGCTCTTGTACCATGCATGCGGTCAGCCACAAAGTGCCACTCGGCACAAAAATTGGCAGGCCTGTCATCTCCAAAGAAGATGCCCAGGTGCAGCCGCTGCTGTGCCTTTTTCTACAGGAAAGGGCACCACACAACTGGAACTCTCTTGAAGTTGAATTCTTGATATCTTCTGTCAGACTGCAAGGGCTGCCCTCAAATTGCTGGGACGAAGTTGGGAGAGCAGCCAACAGTTAAGAGTTTTGCTGAAGCCAAAACCCATTAATATCCCATTACACCCCTGCAAGCTCTCAAAAAAGCTGAATATTGTCACGCCGCTTTCCTCTTGCAGCTTAACGAATGAAACCCTTGTCCCAAGAACCCTGAGCCTGTAGAGTCCTGATAATGCCAAAACTGATCTTTTTGAACCCAGTTGTAAACCCCCTGCTACGGTTTCTCACAACCAGGCAATACCAGGCACCCTGCATCCCGAATAAGCATGAATGGGGATCCTGAAACCACAAGAGGGAACCTCAAAGTTTGAGAGCCCAAAACCCCCTGCTAATCCACACAATCCAATCCCATTATGCTTCCGCAGGATTGCCTTCAAAACCCTCCTGTTCGTGATCACTAAGCCTACATCCCAAACTCTCAACACGAAAACCCTCAGCGCAAACTCCTAAAACCTTCAGTCGCCAAAATCAAAATGCAAAACTCGAAACATGGGCCCCAAAGCCCCCAATGATTGCGATTCCAAAGATGGTATTGCAAAAGCTTCCAATAGTAAGGGCAAATAGGGTCCCCTGGTAAACGGGTCTGGGAACTGAAAGACTATCCCAAAGTGCCACCCATTGCAGGCACCAAGGATGTGGCTGGCATGTGCTCGTGAGGCGGAAACGCTTTCGCCAATGGAGCCCAGGCACCAGCTAAGTCCAATAAAATCTGGCCGCTCGAGGTTTGGGAAGTTTAGACTCATTTGGGGTTAGGTGCTCAGTTTAAGGTTTGAGGTCTAGGGGCTTGGGAGTTGAAAAGAGTAATCATAAATGTGAATTTAAAAGCACTGCGAAATGGAACCAAAATCATTATAGTGTTTACATGTGTGTACAAGATCAACATGATCATGGCAGGCGCGTACCACAGCACAACACTAGCACAAATGTCCATTTAAACCCTGGACGGTCTTCCTTCCTACTGCCTCACGAAACTTCAGTACGCGGGAAGCAAGCACATGACGATCACAAAATGGCGAAGTACAGCGCTACTGACAAATTTCAACATGTCATGACAGCTCATAATAACACAATTTTGAGAGTGCGTTCTGCTTCGTTCATCCGCAGCTAGAAGAGGCCCTGTACAGGTTTGGAGCGAGTAGGGGGCAAAACTTCCCTTCAGAAGAAAGGAATTGAGGAATCACATGAATAAAAAACGCAGTCGTTTTGAAAGCTACCCCTTAGCGGCTGGCCTCAGGATCCCTCCCGCGCGGGTCCGCTGCGGGTGGCAGAAGCTGCGCAAGCCACCGGCCAGCGGAGAGTAAGTCCAGCTGCCCAGCCAGCCCTGAGCCTACCAGTGTAACCCAAGCTTTAGGATTGTGGGAGGGTTTAGGGACCCATGGCTATCAACCATGGCAGAGACCATCTCGGTAGGTGGGAATCATCATGCTAGACAGCGTATGGCGAGCCTAAGTCTAAGCTAACTTGCAACCACTTCAGTCGACGGAGACTCGCCGTGTGAGTGCTGCTTGTAGACGCACGCGCCTTCTGGAGCAGATCTCGAATCGGCCTTCCTCTCAGCTTCCTGAAACCAAATTACTTCAAGACTATGACCAGGGCTAGAACCCTTCTTGCAGCTCAAAACGGTATTAGAAGACGTACTGCCCTTGTTTTTGCATCTGTTGCTTTGATGGTGATGCTCTTTCGTTGTTGTTCTTTTTCTTCACTTCACTCCACCACTGGTAGGCATCGATTTCAATATGGGTGGTTGTCAAAATTATGGTCCCTTTTTGGATTCCTATTATATTACGGCACCTAATATTTAGGATACCCAAAAAGGGACCATAATTTTGACAACCACCCATATAGAGGGCACTCTGAAACCTGACCTGTGGGATTGCAGATGCTACTAGTGACACATGTCATACCCATCGTGGTTAAAGATGCTGTCTACGGCATTATTCTCAGATGCGCAGGGGTAGCAATCAATGTAAAACCTCCTTTTTTTGGTCCTGAGTTTCTCAAAAACTGGGCTCTCGAAGATACCCTGGAAGTGACTGAGGATATTCAGCAGCCCTCGCTCGAATGAAACATCTCCATGAATGCTAAAGCCTATACCCTTTAAGCTTAATCCTAGGCTCTACTTAGGCTTTCACACCAGCCCCCTAATCCTAAACCCTTAACCCCTAAACCCTAAACTCTAAACCCCTGAGCCATCATCTTAGCCAGGGACCTCCAAGCATTTCTGCAGCCCTTGGCGCTCTGCCTCCATGTGCCGCGGGAGTTCTCAAAATGAATCATGGGTTATATAGCAGGCATAGAATAGTAATAAGAGAAGAGCAAATGGAAGCGACTCCATAGGGTTTAGTGTTTAGGGTTTAGGGATATGCAGGGAGTGTACGGGGATTGTGTGAGGTGTCTTTGAGAGTATTGGGGGTTTATGTATTGGATGTGACACAAGTAGTGTTCCGAAAATGGGAAAGCCCTCACGTTTGTTTGGGGGGTTCCTATCGGCTCTTTTTTGTCGCTTTCCGTCGTGGGGGGCAGCGGGGGGTGCCCGGGCTGGGTTCCAGGGCTAGTGGGGGCTGGGGGGGGTCGGCGTACGGATGATTTGCTGCACTCAACCCAGCCAAATGAGGAATTTGTCCTTGCAGTAGCAAGGGGGTTGGTGGGTCTGCAGCGCTCCTCTACCCTTTCTGAGGCGGTCCCGCGTTAGCGAATAAAATACCGAAAACGATGAAGGTGACGAAAACTTGTGAAACTTCATGAAAATGATGGAGAAAAGCTGGAAACTCCTCAAGACTGCAACCATCATGAAAAGTACAATTGAAAGCAGCAGGAATGGAATCGAGGCTTCCAGGATGAAAGGCATTGGCTTTGCTGGCGGTCGGGCATTTTGTTTCTTGGGGGTTCCATAGGATAATGGAAAACAAAATGGAAACTACCAAATTACAGGGGTTATACAGGGGTTCTCTAGGGATAATGGAAAAGAAAACGGGAGCTACTGTTCAGCTCGTTGGTTTGGCTTGGCTTTGGTGGTAAGGCATTGGGGGTGGAGGTTGGGAGAGGGGGTTTAGGGTGTGTTCCCCCTGCGAGATGGTCGCCTGGATCACATAGTGCAATAACAGAGTCATAATGAACAGGCAAACAAATCACGTCATCATAAACGCTCGTGTGCAGCCGACGGGCAACAAATAGCTAAGATCTTTTCAATACTAGGATCCAACGGTCATTACAGGAATAACAGTAATGCGCGTATGAGAGCCTAGAAATGGGTAAGGCTACTCAAAGTGGCAAAAAGGAGTAAACAACAGAGAGTACAAATAAAAGAGAAAAATTGGAATCAAAGCGATTAGTCAAACCAGAAAGCGCAAGCATCGGGCAAGCGCAAAGCAGTGGGAAAAAACAAAACAACAACAAACCGTCTTGGATCACCTGCTGTTCCAACCCCTTTGCAAATCAAAACGTCTAAGAACCGCTCATGTGAGCTCACCGCGCCTTCCACTCTTGGCGCTCTTTCAGCAGCTCCTGGCTGTTTGGGAGATGGTCAGAACTCGCGAAAGTATTGGCCTACTCGACTAGAATAAAGTCTCCACTCAAAGTCTACAGGTCATATAAATATACAAAGGGATATGCACGGAAGCTGTGAGGATCTTGTGTAGGGGCTACGAGTCTGAGATTGTCAGAGGTCCTTTCGGGCAGAAGCCAAAGCCTCAAGAACTTCTGCTGACGCTGCTGCCTTGGCAGTCTGAAGCCTCGGCCGGAACGCGTCCATCACTCGTGCCTATTTGGAAACCATCCTACGCACTGCCTACCATACTGAGAATCATCAAGATTGTCTCTGTTCTGGTCCCTGCTGAGTTTTTTTCCCACTGTAAGGTTCAATATCACTTGCAGCCAAAGCACTCTGCCCGAAGTCTGTGAATCTCTTCTTCCGCTGACTCCGCCTGCTTGGCCAGCTTCGCCAACTTGGCCTCAAATCAATGGCTTTCACAAGGGGCCCTCCTGTTTGAAAAGCATTTGAAACACTGAGAACACCAATATCAATACGTGTAGCCGGCATAGTCACAACAATGCTCATGATTCACAACAACCATGATTTCAATTCGAAGTCGAGTCTTCCTCACTGAGTTCCTAACCTGGTCAACATCCGAGGCAAGGCTTCCACCTTCCTTCGCCTGCACGCAGTGCCAGAAGAAGTCAAGGTAGAATGCCGGTCAAAAGGCTTCATTACCTGATAGTCAACGTTCAAGTAACAAGGCTGTTCAAAGCCCTGCTGGTTCAAAGCCCTCCTGGACTTGATCCTTGAACACGACCACGGCCTTCCAAAAAGACATCTGAGTATTTGAAAAAATGAGAGTCTCCCTTTGAATAACCTAATACGTTACAATCCGTATGCTGGAGACCTGCAAGAAGGGACCCCTAATTCAAGGAAACTCCCATCTAAAGCCAACCCGAGACCTAAACCCTGAAACCCTAAATGTTTAACCCTCAACCCCTCAACCCCACTCCTCAAGCGTTTGATTCTCCTTTCCGCTTGGTAGGGCTTGGCAGGTCCCGCGCCATCCAAGTGCTTGGTTAGAATCCCCTTGTGAAGAAGTGCATTCCCAATGGTGCCTTCTTTACAAGGACCTTTAGAACAACCCCCATATTGAGGTTTTGACCGCAGATTCGGCTGCAAGCTGGTCGGAATGCTCAAAGTTTCAGGATTTGACACAAATTATGCAGCAATTCTATTTGAGGTCACAAGACTACCAGCCACTGGCATGTGCCTGATGCCAACGACGTGCCCTTGTAGCGCCGGCTACAGGTGCACTTTGCTATTTGGATAGCCCTTGTTCAGCGGGACATGCGTTCGCGACATGAGCAAATGCCTATGCCTCAACTGAATGGAAGGACTCAGAAACCTCGATGGAATCTGATGGAAAGTTATGAGGTATGATGAACATGATGAAATGAATTGAAAATATGATGAAAACAAGAAAGGGGATGAACAAGGAGGTCACATGATGATAGTAAGATGAAAATGATGAGAAGTTCTGAAACGTGATGAGACAGGATGAAGAATATTATGAAATACGATGAGAACGAGAAATATGATGAAAATGATGAAAAATGTGGCAACTGCTGCAAGCTGATGGGAATTATGAAAATGTGGAAAGCTCCTGAAACTTTATGACGCATGATGCAAGAAGGACGGTGCTGAGAAAAAAGGAAGAAGCAAAAACAACAACAATCGCAGATATCCGCAATCCGGCAGCTGAGTGCAGTCAACGAGAAACAGGAAGGCAAAAAGCCAGAGGCGAAAAGCAGAAAGCAACAAGCAAAACGCAAACGAGACCAAGTAAGAAGCAGAAAGCCAAAAGCACAAACGCAGTAAACAAACGACATATGAAAAAATAAACAATAGAAAAAAAAAACATAGGCCTGCCTTTGCCCTTCACCCTGTTGCCTGTGCCGGGGCAAGCGGGGCTGCCAGCGCGGCAGCCGGTCGCGGAGCACCCTCGCGCATGACCTTTTCCAGGCAGCAGATGCAGAGGGAACGAGATCAGTGGCAAGTGGCAATTAAGGAGTAAAAACAAAAGGCGTGCTGTAGACTGCCTGCGCATGACGCAGCCGCATGTTTTGCATGCGACCTTCCGGCGACCTGTTGCAAGCCACGTCTGACACGTCTCCTGTGGATCCCTGCTGCGCTGTCCTGACCGTGGAGGTGCTGCCTGCCTGAACAAGTCATAATCTGAGTGACTTGGCACGGAGTTTGATGCACTGCCTGAGGACGGAGAGATGATGGTGCCGTTTGCCATCCTGACCGTTGATTTAGCCGGCCATTTGCTTTTGCACGCCCTGCCCCGCCTCCTGCCAGCTCCGAAAAACCGGCTGTGCCATTGGCTCCAGGAGGATAAGGCCTTTTCTCAAGCAATCGATGCAGGACAGATGGTAGATATCTGGGCCTTGGCAAAGGCCGATGCGGCGGACGCATGGCATGGGAAACGCAGCGAGCCCTAATATAATAGAGCTTGAAGTATCGTGAGCAATGCTGTCTCGGACCTAAGAAAAAGCTGAGGGACTTGGCTGGTTGCTCGACATCAAGGCATGTATCTAGATAGCTGTGACCACCAATGCCAGCGGCAGGTGCAGGACACCCATCCATTCAGGCGCTTGGCAGGGATCATACTGTTATTAGTATTCCTGTTGTCTTCCTACTACTTATATTTCTATTGTTACTAGTTCTGTTCTATTCTAACTACTAGTACTGCTTCCATTACTATTACTATTACCCTTGCTATGACCTTTACTGCTATTCTTACTACTATGACTATGGCTATTACTATTACTACTGCTATTACTATCCAGCAAGCCAAGCATTCCCTCAGCCTGTCAGGCGTGCAAACGAGGATGTCCACAACCTGAGAGATCTCCTGCCGCTGCCTTGGGAGACGATGTCGCAACATGTCCATAGGGTTCTTAGGGCTTAGGATTTAGAGTTTAGGGGTTTGGGGATTTTGGACAGACAAGGTACCAAATAGGGCAACAGGGCCAAGGGTGCACACACTTACTTCAACGAGCTCTTCAAGCTAGTTCGGATTTTGCCATCACTAGACACTGCACTGGACCCTGCACTCTCAGTAGCCGTCGTTATGCCTGCTTGTCCCTGATCGTGTTGCTCAGGTATCTCTTGGGTTTAGAGTCTAGGATTTAGGGTGTAGGGGTTTGAGGTCTTGGGACTAGAGTTTATCAGGGTTTAGGGGTTTTGGGTTTAGGGTTTACAGATTAGGGTTTAGAGGTTTAGGGTTTAGGGATTTTGGTGTTCAGGGGTTTAGGGTTTACCAATGCTGCAAGTGGCCGAGCCCTGAGCTCCAGGCGTTCTCCACGTCATCGAGCCACCGTGAACCTTGGAAGTGCAGCTTCCAGAAAGACTATAACCCTAATATAACCCCAATATACCCTATAGTCCCTGTAGTTTCCGTTTTCTTTCCCATTATCCCTATATAACCCCAAGAATATGGGGGACTATAGAGTCCTGGTACTTCCTGTACTGTGGCCGCCGCCAGGCGAACGCGACACCTGAAATGATCTGTCTTGTCTGTCAAACATCTTTTGTAAACGTTGGGAACCCTTGAAAGAACCTTAAGACAACTCATGTACATTTTTGCCAATGCTAGTCGAGTGTCCGCGCATGATGGCTGATGAGCTTGAGAGTCTTGTATGCCTTGCAACACCGAGAGCCAGCACGACCTCCGATCAGAACACATCTGACGCCACCTGGATGGCAAGCTCCCGAGTCGGACATATGGCCTAAGTGGCGCTTTACATCTCCAGCTGAAATGTCTTCAGGACTTCCCTGTTGAGGCTAGCAACTTCACAACATCCTGTACGCAAGATTAAGGCCTTCTTTGCCATGGCTGCAGCTTGATACAAAGAACGCACCCTCTTCAGCATACTGAAAGAACTCCTTGCTCCCCCGCTGCTGATGCTTAAGCCCTCTGAAAACCTTTTGAGTTTCCAGGTTTCCAGGCAGCGGATGAAGAGACAGTTGTGTCAGTTTTCTTCAGGTGCAATTGAAGCTGCATCCGTATAGGGACCGATCATTGGGATCTGAGATCAAGACCAAGGCCAGAGGGCATCCGGCTCGGTATGCCAAGCCATAGTCCATGTTTCGAGCCTGCTGAGCCCGGTATTGCAGCAGACCCGGCTTTATGAGTATGGGGAAGCACCTGCGCCATTCCCCGAACAATCTGCACCATCGGCAGCATGTACCTTCCAGTCTTCCAGTATCAGCTCAGGCTTGGGGAGTTCAAGGGTGGTCAGATATCAGGTGAGTGTCCTTAAGGGCTCTTCGGGCACGCGAGGCTCTTCCCGGATCCCGTCTCCGCAGCAATGACCTGGTAGTCGAGACAGTCGTGCTCCCCTCGCAGCTACCAGTACGACAAATGCTTCTCAAGCCTTGCTGATGATGGTTTCTTATTACGTTTAGAATATGCGATGACATATTCTGATACTCTCATTATTCAAGCACCTCCTTCCCCGAGGCCCACTGCAGGTTCCCTTTTGGTTGTCTGGGTTTCCTTTCGTGGTGGGTGGACCCTCGGGGCGGCACTAAGGGTTTTTGACCCGACGAGCACCCCCACCACCCCAGGCTTCCTTCTGCGGTGGGGTGATAGTGCCCTTGCAGCTCACCATGCGCTTTTTCAGCTGCCCACCCCTTGCAGCTCGCCATTCGCTTTTCCAGCTGCCCACCCCTTGCAGCTCGCCATTCGCTTTTTCAGATGCCCACCCCTTGCAGCTCGCCATT